TAGGGTTTCTGAGAAGTGGCTGATGAATTGGAATCGCCTACCTTGCAGTTGGCAGTTCAAGCTCACCAGCTACTCCTTGGAAACCCTGTCCTGGGTTGCTGTGAGTTGGAACAACAACTACAACCTTGTAGTTCAAACTGACCTTGCGGTCCAGTGCATTATTCCACAGTGCCACACCAGGACTCCTAGCCAATCCTGTTAGGGGTGAGTGAATTAAATGTCTGACCAAATAGAGCACGCTAAATTTTAAGTTGGTAGTTTTGCATAGCCTGCCAATGATGTTATAAATTTTGGCAGAAAGCTTTCCCATCATTGCTGTAAATCATTTCTGAGGAGTGGTAGGTGGGTTTGAAACACCGACCTTGTGGTTAGCAGTCCAGTGCTTATCCTACAGTGCCACACCAGGACTCCAATCCCATATGAGTAGTGTCTTATAAAAGAGGAAAACAGACATTCAGAGACAAACACATAAGGGAAGACTCCCTATGAAGACAGCTACAAGCCAAAGAATACCAAAAGATGCCTGGAGTTACCAGAAACTACCAAATACAAAGAAGGATCATCCTGTCTGGCCTCCGAGGACATGGCCCTGCTAATACCCTGAATGTGGAATTCTAGCTTCCAAAACGGTGAGACTGTAAGCTTTTGTTCTTATAAGCCACAGTGGGATTTTGTTATTGCAAGGCTACTAAACTGTGTTCTCAAAGCGTCAATTCCACTATTTAATGGGGATAATAATAGTAATATCCACCTTATAGGGTTATTGTGATTCAGTGAACTGACATATGCATACACACACGAGGGAACTTTAAAAATTCATGGGAAAATTACATTGTAAATTTTCCATGAATTTTCTGAAGCCACCTTGTATATATGTACTTAGAACCATGCCTGGCACATATAAATACCCAATAAATATTAATTATATTTTCATTAAAAAATATACTAACTAGTATTCTGGATTGGGCATGAGGGGAAAAAAAGATGAAATTCAATTAAAGTCTAGAATTTAGTTAATAGTAGTGCCCCAGTGTTTATTTTCTAGTTTTGATACAGGTACCAGGAGTCCTGGTATGGTGCTATAGGATAAACACTGAACCATAAATTTGGTTTGAACCACAAGGTCGGTGGTTCAAACTCACCAGTCGCTCCTCGGAAACCCTATATAGGGTCACTTTGAGTTGGAATTGATTCAAAATCACTTAACAACAACAACAATCTCTATAACATAAAACAATTACACTGGAGGAAAGTGGATGGGGAGCATATAGTAACTCATTGTGCTATCTTTGCAAATTTTTCTGTAAATCTAAAATTACTCCAAACTAAAAAGTTAAAAAAATATATATAGTATTATTATTATGATAATTGTTGTTGGTAAGTGCCATCAAGTCAGTTCCAACCCATAGCAACTCTGTATAGGGTTTCCGAGGAACTACAGGTGAGCCTGAACCACCAACTTTGTGGTTCAAACTGACTTTGCAGTCCAGTGCATTAGCCCACAGTGCCACACCAGGACTCTATTAGTACTAATTTTATTCTCAGGATCCCTATATGGTATAATAAGTAAATTTTTTGTCACTTGCACATGAGGAAACTGAAGCAGAGAAAATTTGCCCCTAACCTTGTGTCACCTTCACTATAGCAGTTTAGGACTGACTGGTGGGTTGGAATTTAAATAGAATGCAAGCCTAAGTGTGTATGGATCTCCTCCTTGTATAAGGCTCCACCCTTAATGATGCACCAGTTGGCAATAATAGGCAGCGTCAGTTCTCAAGGTGATTACAAGTAGGACATCCAAGTTCACAGAGTGCTAAGGACAGTCCCCAACGAGATGGACTGGCCAAGTGGCAGCATTGATGGACTCAAGCGTGGTAACAGTAGTGAGGCTGGCCCAGGATCGGGCAGTGTTTTGTTCTGCTGTGCATAAGGTCACTATGGGTCGGTACCGACTCAATGGCACCTAACAACAACAACAACAACAAGGACAGTCAAGATAGGAAACCACCCTCTGACTCAGGAACCCATGCTTGTAAACTTGGCACCAGACAAAGCAGTGGGAAGTACTGATTAGAGGTACATGCAACTTATAGTGAAAGTGCAAAAGTAAGAACATGTCTGATTGGGAATGATCTAGGGACAGGCAACTTCATGGACTTTGATCTGAGTCTTGAAAGGTGAGCATAATTTGATACGGAAAGAAAGAAAGGGAAAACCTGGAATGGATCTTAGAACCTGGCTTGAGCTACTCCTCAATTCAGCTTCCTTTTCCTTTTTCTGCCTAGTGCTTGGCTATTTTTGTTTGCATTTCATGCAAGACCACAGACTTGCATAAACAAAACATGGGTTTTGGGGTCAGGCAGCCTAAGTCCAACAATTGTCTACCTCTCACTAATATATGTTCTGTTGTGCATAGGGTCACTATGAGTCGGTACCAACTCGATGACACCTAACACCACCACCACCACCAATATATAGTCTTAATCTCCTAATTTAGCATTTAGGAGAGGAGCTGTGGTGGCACAGTAGGTAAAGCACTTAGCTGCTAACTGCAATGTCGATGGTTTGAACCCACTAGTTGTCCTGAGGGAGAAAGATGCGGCAGTCTGTTTCTGTAAAGATTGTTGTTGTTAAGCGCTGTTGAGTCGGTTCTGACTCATAGCAACCCTGTATAGGGTTTCCAAGAAGTGGCTGGTGGATTTGAACCATCAACCTTGCTGTTGAAGCTGACCTTGTGGTTCAAGCCGGCCTTGTAGTTCAGTGCATTATGCCACAATGCCACACCCATGGACATCCTAGGAGGCAGTTCTACTTTGTTCTCTAGGGTCACTATGAGTTAGAATTGACTAATGAGTGAGTTTGATTTGTTTTCTATCTGGAGCTTTAAGGAAATCAGGGTCATACACTTCTCAGAGTGTGGAGTCCTGGTGTGGCACTGTGAGTTAATGCGCTAGACTGCAAAGTCAGTTTGAACTGCAAGGTCAGTGGTTCAAGCTCACCAGTCATTCCTTGGAAACCCTCTAGCGGGTCGCTATGGGTCAGAACCGACTCAACGGCACTTAACAACAACAACACTCCTCAGAAACCCTATTCAGAGTCACTATGAGTCAGAAATGACTCGACAGCACTCAACAACAACAACAACAATGACCACCTGACCTGGTTGTTGTGAGGGTTACAGGGATGAGAAAATGTGTATACAGTTGATACAATTGTTAAGTGCCGTGGCCTCTGTAGAGCTCACACCTTTGTTTTGCCTGAAGCTTACATGATGAGCTCTGGGGTTATGTTGCTAAACATTTCCTAGTGAAGTAGCTTTGTATAAAGAAACAAACATGGGCAACAATACTACTTACCAGTCAGGTAACCTTGGTCAGCTAAACTGTCCAGGCCTCAATTGTTCACTGTAAAATATTGATTTTATAGGATGGCTGTGATAATTATGAGAAGGTGTGTGAAGCCTCATGTTATTGCTGTTTATAAGTGCTGTGAATCGGTTCTGACTCATAGGGACCCTGTACAGGGTTTCCAAGGAGCACCTGGTGAGCTTGAACCGCTGACCTTGTGGTTCAAACTGACTTTGCAGTCCAGTGCGTTAGCTCACAGTGCCACACCAGGACTCTGCAGTACATAATAAGTGCTCACTAAATATGAGTTGGCTGACTTTTGGGGTAGGAAATCTTGAAATTTAGATGCACCTAACAGCTAGAATGGAGCCCTGGTATGCCACTGTGGGTTAATGAGGCAAACTGCAAAGTAGTTTGAACTGCAAAGTTGGCAGTTCAAGCTCACCATTCACTCCACGGAAACCCTATACAGCGACACTATGGGTTGGAACTGACTCGAAGGCACTTAACAACAACAACAACAGCCAGGATATTCCTTGGAAGCCAGGATGACCAGGCTTCATCTTTTATACTTTGGATACATTATCAGGAGGGACCAATCCCTGGAGAAGGACATCATGTTTGATAAAGTGAAAGGTCGGAAAAAAAATAAGACTCCCAGAGAGATTGATTGGCACAGTGGCAGCAGCAGTGGGATCAGAAATAACAATTGTAAGGTTGGCACAGGACTGGCCAGTGTTTCATTCTGTTGTGCATAGGGTCACTATGAGTTGGTACTGACTCAATGACACCTCACAACAACAACAACAGCTTCTCGAGGTGGTGCAACTACTAGCCTAAAGGTTGGCAGTTTGAATCCACCCAGTGGTGGTAGTGGTGGTTGTTAACTACTTTTGAGTTATCAAATTGAGTGGACTCATGGTGACCCCATGCACAACAGAACAAAATGCTACCTGGGCCCGAGCCATTCCCTGATTGGTTATAGATTGGAGCGTTGTGATTCATAGTATTTCATTGGCTGATTTTTGGAAGCATATTGCCAGTCCTGTATTCCTGTTAATATTGTTAAGTGCCATCGAGTTGGTTCTGACTCATAGCATCTCATAGCAACCATGTATAGGGTTTTTGAAGAGCAGCTGGTGAATTTGAACCACTGACCTTGTGGTCCAGTGCCTTATCCCACAATGCCACACCAGGACTCCTGTAAAGGTTGTTGTTATTGTTCAGTGCCAGTGAGTCAGTTCTGACTCACAGTGACCCCATACAGCGTTTCAGAAGAGTGACTGGTGAATTTGAACCGCTGACTTTGTAGTTCAAATGCACCTTGCAGTCCAGTGTTTTATCCCATAGCACCATACCAGGACTCCTGTTAAGATAAAAACCAAGGAAACCCTATATATGAGTCAGAATCTACTGGACTGGCAGTGAGGTTTTAAAACAGCTTTTCTACCCAATCTTTCTCAGTTCAAGGCAGTGTCTGGTGCTGGTGGAACAGGAAGTGACCAATCTATGAAATGGCCACCAAATAGTTCATTTATTTTACTAACAGGATTCAATCTTTAAAACAGAACTGAGGGGCTGGGAAGAGGAAGGAAGGCAAGAGAAAGAGTGGGAAGCCTATGGAAAGGCACATAACATAGTGGTTTCTGGCAACTAAATCAGCTGAGGAAACCCATCGTGGGCCGACTCATTCCTGCTTTGAAGAATCTGCTGGCTGACATCCAGCCTTTGTCCCATCTCATCCTCAGTCTCGTCCTCGTCTGACTTGCGGCGGGCGTCCTCGTAGAGCACAGCACAGACACCTGTGAGCCAGGCAGCCACTGTGCCTGCGGCAAAGATGCAGAAGCCAATGAGCAGCAGGAAGATGTAGTCTTGGCGGTCCAGGTGTGTGATGCACATATACCTGAGTGGGTTCCCCACCCGAGTGATGGGCCACCCCGACAGCTCTGTAGGCTCGACGCACGTGGCATTTAGGTCATCTGTGGGGAAAAACACACCAGGCATAGTGCTGAAACAGTAGAACTTCCAGGGCCCTAGGGTCCCAGGTCTTAGGGACCGGGAGAGGCGTCTGACTCTCCATACCCAAAGTGTGTCCTCAAAGTAGACCACCAGTGTCAGCTTCACCTGGATCTTGTTAGAAACACAGAATCTCATGTCCCACCAAGATCCCCAGGTCAAAATCTGCATCTTCACAAGATCCTCTGGTTGTACATTAAAGTTTAAGAAGAACAATGTCTAGATCACTTCTTGTCCACATTAGCTGCATTCAGGTCACCTCATTAAAGTAGGCTTTGCTTCTTAAGGATCCCCAAGGAAGCAGAGGCCACAATAGTGGCTGGGAGGTTGGAAACATAAGCAAGACCTCCACCTGTTCTTCACTTCCTTCTCCTTATTATTGACCCCTATGTTCCCTTTCCACTTTGACCCCTTCTCTTCACCTGCACCTGAGTCCAGCCAGGGATGACCAGCACCACCCAAGGGCATCAGAACCGACTTGGCTCAACTTTAGGGAGGGATAAATTTCTCTGAAAATGTCTACTGTATTGTCCCTTTCCCCCAGCACTTCATCCAGGGAGAATGGGGTTGGAGAGGATTTAGGAGGAAGAGACAAAGGGGAGCAATTTCCCTTCTCAGTGGTGATGTTGGCAGTCACTGGCTGATCAAATGACCTTTGTGAGTTTCCAGTCTATTTTAGCAGTAGACTCAGTATCCTGGTCACTTCTCTGAGCAACACCCCACCCACACCATTTATCGCTGTTACTTACTAGTTTTGTAAACTTTGGCAGGATGCTAGATTCTCTTTGAATTTCATTTCCTCATCTTATAAATGCAATTAATGACCCTTATTCTCATGGTAGTTGAGAGGATTAATTGATACAGGTAGGAAAGCAAGTTATTATACCTGGTGTATAATACTTAAGAGTCTGTCCTCAACCCTGGATTTTTCTAGTGTCCTATACTCTGCCATAAGGAGCTCTGGTAGCGTAGTGGTTACGAATCGGGCTGCGAACCTTAAGGTCAGTGGTTCGAAACTACCAGC